TGTGTGTGATCCCAGGTGGGCCATGGGGAGGGGCCGGGCAGGGACAGGGAGGAGCACAGCCGAGCGCTCTCACTTTCATGTGTCTTTCATCCACATGTTCAAACCGAGCGGAGACGGAAGAGCGCAGACCTGGTGCCGTTCTGAGCGCGTTTGATCCGGCCTTTCATGTGTCTGCGCCTCACTTCCGGGTGCAACGCAGTCAAACAGAAACACGTCTGGAGTAAGAACTAATGACTGGGATCAAACTGGATTAAAGAAGATGGAGGAATGAGAGAGTTTAAAAGAGGACTTGGAAATGAAGATGCTGAACACTCAAACAACAGGTCAAGAGAGTTGGATGATGATTTATGGACAAAAACACACAGGGATTCTATCTATTACATCTCAAAGAAGGCAACTTTGGGTTTCAGAGGAAGGAAACAGGAATAATTAAGTCTGCTGTACATTTACTCTTCAGTTCTTCACCACAGCCTCAGTCCTGGTCTGCAGCCTGAGTCCTGGATCTACAGCCTCAGTCCTGGGTCTACAGCCTCAGTCCTGGGTCTACAGCCTCAGTCCTGGATCTACAGCCTCAGTCCTGGATCTACAGCCTCAGTCCTGGATCTACAGCCTCAGTCCTGGATCTACAGCCTCAGTCCTGGATCTACAGCCTCAGTCCTGGATCTACAGCCTCAGTCCTGGAACTACAGCCTCAGTCCTGGAACTACAGCGCGAGTCCTAGATCTACAGCCCGAGTCCTGGATCTACAGCCTCAGTCCTGGATCTACAGCCTCAGTCTTGGATCTACAGCCTCAGTCCTGGATCTACAGCCTCAGTCCTGGATCTACAGCCTCAGTCCTGGATCTACAGCCTCAGTCCTGGGTCTACAGCCTCAGTCCTGGATCTACAGCCTCAGTCCTGGATCTACAGCCTCTGTCCTGGATCTACAGCCTCTGTCCTGGATCTACAGCCTCTGTCCTGGTCTACAGCCTCTGTCCTGGTCTACAGCCTCTGTCCTGGGTCTACAGCCTCTGTCCTGGGTCTACAGCCTCTGTCCTGGGTCTACAGCCTCTGTCCTGGGTCTACAGCCTCTGTCCTGGGTCTACAGCCTCTGTCCTGGGTCTACAGCCTCAGTCCTGGATCTACAGCCTCAGTCCTGTTTTACAGCCTCAGTCCTGGATCTACAGCCTGAGTCCTGGATCTACAGCCTGAGTCCTGGATCTACAGCCTGAGTCCTGGATCTACAGCCTGAGTCCTGGATCTACAGCCTGAGTCCTGGATCTACAGCCTCAGTCCTGGATCTACAGCCTCAGTCCTGGATCTACAGCCTCAGTCCTGGATCTACAGCCTCAGTCCTGGATCTACAGCCTCAGTCCTGGATCTACAGCCTCAGTCCTGGATCTACAGCCTCTGTCCTGGTCTACAGCCTCTGTCCTGGGTCTACAGCCTCTGTCCTGGGTCTACAGCCTCTGTCCTGGGTCTACAGCCTCTGTCCTGGGTCTACAGCCTCTGTCCTGGGTCTACAGCCTCAGTCCTGGGTCTACAGCCTCAGTCCTGGATCTACAGCCTGTCCGTTTGTGGTAGCGACCTCCCTCTCACTGGGGCTGGGATTCCAGATAATAACACATTATTATTGATTCATTTTAAACTTTCGGAAAAAACGCCGCTCTTTCATCTCACGTATCACTTCTAACAATCAGGGAAAAATGGGTTAACTAGTTTCTCTATCGAGTCGATCTGGTCTAAAGATAGATCACACATTTCTAACCCACTATTGCCAGCACAAAACCCCTTTTCTTTTGCATTCTGGAAGTGGAGATATTGATAGAGTGCTTATTTAATAGCTGTAACTTGTGGCTTTAAAACAAGTCTGAACAGGAGTGTCTTCCTCTCACCGGCCCCTAACCACTTCCTCCGGTTCCCATTTCTGCCCTTGTTTTAAGTGTGAACCGCAGACATAGCATTGGAGGTTTTCTTTGCAAACAATACTAATTACGGCGTTTAATTGAATAAAAGCAAAGATTGTGTGAAATATATATCGGGTGAAGCCTTAACATATTAGAGGGGAGTTTTATACGGCTGTGTTTGGACGAGAGCACAGACTGAAAAGATGGGAAGGCGTGAAGATCAATGAGAGATTTGTAGAAATGTGTGTTTTTAACAGTGCCACTTTATATATAGAGATAATATAATCCTTGGTGTAGAAGTTTGTATCAGTTTGAATGAAATACAAGAACAATTACAACATCAGAAACACGTTCATCAACTTTAATGAAGAAGGTCTTGGCTCGGTCTTATCTATAGAAGGAGGATTTATGGAGGGAACCATCAAAGTCCATTGAACGTCATCAGTTAAACATTAATCATTTTTAAAGTTGGGGGTACCTCACTTTTTCCTTCTATAAATACATGAAGCTATTTATGAAACTGAAAGAAAGCCACTGCAAAAAATAAGATCTCAATACAAACATGTGTTTCTCCTAAAGACAAACGTTAACATTTTTGAGACGTATTTGAGAAGAAGGTTAAAGGTTTAAGTTGCTTTAATTTAATTTTTGAAAAAAACAATGAGAAATTCTTGAGACAAACATGAAACATGAGGAGATTCTAGTGACAATTAATTTCTTCCTCAGGGTTATGTAAAAGCAGATTATAGTAAACAAATCGGACCACAACATCGTATTAGAAAACACACAAGAGCCCAGGGAGTGGCTATATGACTCTTTGGGCTGAGAGCTGATTGGCCGAGTAAGGGTGGTCCTCTCTTTCTCACTTTTCTTGATCTAGAGATGTAACCGAGGCCAGATATACATGCATAAGAAAACTAGTGATGGAACCCAATCGTTTTAAGAAGTTAGATGGATTTTATTGCACTGTTTGATTCTTTGTGGTTGCAAAGTTCGGTACTGCAGCTTTAAATCACACAGTAAAATAATGATGATAATAGCAATTGTATAATATTAATAATAAAATAGCAACATTTGTTTTTTATTAGAATTGTTCCTTGCCGATGCAGAAGGCGCTGATGATCGACATTCGACATTCAAAAATATTTAACTTTTTTTTTTTGTTTTTTTTTTTTTAATTAATCAATGAATTTCTTGTGTGTTCTTGTGATTCTCTGCTCTGTGTTTTGGCCAATTCGATGGTTTTGTAAAGTCCTCTGAACAAACTACTGTTGTGATTTAGGGCTGTACAAAAATACATTACATTGATTATAATTGAAGTTCTAATAACAGTGCGTGTGTGTATGGCTTTCTGCGGTTCAGCTTCCAAATCTTGCTGTGGCCTTGTCAGAGTTTGTCGGAGTCTCCATCACCTCCCCTTCTCATTAGCGTCGACGCCTGTCCGGCTTAACTGCAGCAGCACCGGTGCACCCTACACACATCCTGCTAACGAACCCTGATCCCATCAAAGAGACACTCACCCGCGTCTGTATTAGCGAAGACAAACTGTCATATAACCGGGATTTGCCTGCTCCCAGACCAGAAACCACTTGTTGGCAGCGGCCGCGGTATGCCTGCCTGTCTGCTTTACACAACGTGACAAAACACAAAGGATAGGAGCGTGTAGACGGCGAGGAGAAAGGAGAGCTGCGAGATCCAAGTCCCCAAAACAGTAAAAACAGTAGACCAGGCAACGGTAGGCCAAGCAACACGCCAATACACTCCCTCCCATTGGGCAAGAGGGAGCTGTCAGCGAGGCAAGTCGAGGCTGACGATAACAACTGTTCGAACCATCCCCACTTGACCTTTGCTAACGTGGGCGTATGTTTTTTTATGTAAAGTTTGAAGCGCACAAAAAGTAGCGTTCGGGGACCTGGAGCGACCTAGCATGAAATATGAGAGACGAGTACAGTGGCGAGATTAAAGGGGAGCGCGGATATTTTGACGTTTGCTTGTCAACTCCAGGCGATTGGCAACAGAGCAGAGCGGTGGCAGATGTAGGGGAATAGCTATAGAATATAAAATAGTGTTTTCTATGTCTTTCAAGTGGTGCCATCAGGATTCATTTGGCCGTAAAGCTAGCTGGAGGTACTACAGCATGAGCAACAAGTGAGCTGAAATGAGTAGTTAAAGCTGGAATAGGACTTTTTTGGATTTATAAATAACACATGTAGCTTGTCCCAATAGAATGAGTCCAACATTTGGCGGAAAAAACACTGACCACAAGCTGTCATCATCTTAATAGAAAACAAGTTATCGTTTGCATACTTACAAAGAGCCCTGTGAGTCTCTCTTTGACTCTTTGGGCTGAGAACTGATTGAGGATGAGTTTCTCTTTTTTTCGCTTTTCTGTCTGAAAAAAGGTGATCTAAAAATGAGGCCAAAACTAGAGCCAGGAGCTAGTTACATGGATTTTATATACATTTTTCACTTTGAAATAATGCCATATTTTGTACACAATAAAAGTACCGGAGATAGGGCAGCAATCATATTCATTGTGTCCTTAGGCAAGACACTTCACCCCCATTGCCTAGAATGAGTCTGGTGTGTGTGTGTGAATGGTTGTTGGTGGTGGGAGGGGCCGATGGCGCAGACTGGTTGCCTCGCTTCTGTCAGAGTGCCCCAGGGCAGCTGTGGCTACAGTAGTAGTTTATCACCACCGTGTTTGGAGTGAAAGAATAGTGACATGTGAAGCGTCTTTGAGTGTCCAAAAAATCGTGATATAAAACCAATGTATTATTATTTTTATGATCTAAAAAGGTGACAGACCAAAACTAGAGCCAGGAGCTAGTTACATGGATTATAATATATGTATTTACATTTTGAAAGTCACTGTAGTCACCCCAGCTTTTAGATAGTACCATATCTTGTACACCATAAACGTTCAGGGGATGGGGTTGATATAATATTTTTTTGACTTGTTTGTGGCTATTCAACTATTGTAGCTGTAGTTTATAGATTTGGAGTTTTATTACACAATTAGTACACAATCTAATCCAGACACAGTTTTTCCCGTTCATCATTTATCATTAAAACGCATTAGGATTATTCGTTTTTTTCCAGAGAAACCTCCCCTCATATTACGGCAAAGCCTGCGTACTCGCCTGCCAACGGAATTACACTCGCAGTTACTTGGCCACATCGTGTTCAATCTGCGCCCGTTCTCTTAAAGCCTCACAATTCTGATTAGAGATATTGGCCCGTAAGGTTTTGCTCCTTTGATATAAATATTAAGCTCACATGTGCGCCGATGGGAGACTGATAATCAACGTTTTGGCAGCGGAGGCCATCTTGATTGTGGAGGACTAGTGGCCAAAGCTCGTGGAAGTGGTACATATGAAAAACAGATGAGAGCGGATGGTGCAGGATTACTGTGGTGTGACAGACACAGAGCAGATATCGCAGTCGGAGCTCAGCTGAGGATGCTGAGGATCTCTACAGTTATCGTCCCGTTGGGGATGTGAAGAGAGCTCAGAGATGGAAGATAGAATTTGTTGTTACTCTTAATGGTTTTCTATGCTTTAAAAGTCCTATATCACGCTTTTCTTCATGTTTCACACTCAATCCTATACACATGTGTGATATTAATGCGTATGATACGCCACACAACAATCAAAGCTTGTGAGATTAGAGCCATCTCTTGTATAGAGGTGACGTCACCTCGACTCAAACGAGCTGATCCAGAGAAGAGTCTGCTCCTCTGCCTGTGAGCCCGCCTCCCCCCGCCCGCACGGTGACGTAGCATCACGCTTTTGTCGTTTATCACCTGTACTTAGTAATTTCATACATAAGAATAAACTTTTTCCAACAATGACAATCACATCGAGCCCTATGTCCTCGATGCACAATCAGACCCTAGTTATTTAGTTTACAGAAGTATACAGCGAGTTAGCGTCACTACTTACAGATCGAGGGGGTCCGAGTTACGTCTTTTACCGTGGGAATAACGTGTTTCCAGATCAGCTTTTGAGTAAGTCCAGTTCCATTGTCCCTGTAGTTCTGGAACAGTCTCAGTGAAGTGTCGCAGATGAACCGGTATTAAAATAGATCCATGAGTTGAACAGATGAAACAAGTCGAGCCGCTTTCTTCCTCTTAGGGCCAAATAGTGAGTCACATATTTACACCCATAACACACTTCATTCAAATTGACGTGATCCTAACACTTTTAGTTGCTGACAAAAGCATAAAAACAGCAGCTCCATGTGGTGTCCGGAGACCAGACCACAGACGCTGGACTCGGGAGCCAGAGCCTGTGCGCTCTGATTCGCTGTTTTGATCCGTCAATCACCTCCCGCCGGCTTTTAATTTATTTTTATTTTTATTATTTTTGACAAAAAACAGCATACTAATTGTGTATTGTTCACCCCGTTTTGACAAAAGTATTTAACAACTATTTTAAATACAAAGCAAACGGGGTCATGCGCGTCATCAGTGTGGTTTTCGTCACTGAAGTGGACCCGAGCGTTTCTGTGCCTCACGCTGGGGAAGGAGACAGATTGCTCTCTTACAAAAGATTGACAGAATCAATGAATAAACTACTGTGGGCTTGTGTATGAAGTACTATTTGGCCTTCGTACACATGCCCAACTAAATTAAATATTAGTATGGTCCCGCGTCTACCACCCACATACTGCGCTGTTTTGTGTTAACTTCATGTCAACTGGTGGAAAATAGGTTTTTAGATGTAAATATGTGACAACATAGTTTGGCTCGAAGACGATAAATTCGGCACATTTGGCTGCTCTTTCTATTCACAGGGATCTGCCTCGGAAATCCGCGTTGCATCTGTTTTCTGAGAGTGACAGTTACCATCACCCAAATTATTATCACACATGTGCTTAGGATGGACTGTGAAACATGAAGAAGAGTGACATATGGGACCTTTAAGGGGATGGGATCATAGACCGTATCGTAGGAGTGGACTGACCAGGTTTACGCCACCATAGTGTTAGCCTAAATGAGGAAGATCATGATTCTAATAAGCTTGCTGGAACCCATTTCCTGATATGGGCATTTCGTCTTTGGCGTTATAACCCATAACACACCTACCCCATAACAGGGGTAGGCGTGTTGCTAAGACGGTTGCTATGGTATGCTGGAGTTTCACCCACGAATGATAAGGCATTTGGTCCATACTTATATATGGTTTATGCCTGGATTCACAAAGACAATATCAATCTATAAACACAAGGATCAAAGAGACCACAGATTTTCAAAGCCCAAAATGGTGAGACACTGAGCAAGAGGAGTTTACTTAAGTCAAAAGGAAGCCAGAGCGAGATGGAGCAAAACTTTATCCATGAGCACTTCCCTATTAGGCTTGATTGTCCATCGTTATGCAGTCTATGGATGGGATGCAGAGGGAAAAGTTGGTTGACCTACCTTTCTTGACTTTCTTCGATGGCTGTTTCTTCTTAATGAACGTTGCTGCGTCTTGTTGCAGAGGTAACGGCTCGCCACCTGGGGCGTCTGCTGAGGGTTCAACTCCCCCTGAAGAAGAAGAAAACAAACGTTATTCTACATTGACAATGAAGAACTGCTGAAACTAAGAAATCCACAATGATGGTTTTGTGAGGCTGATTTTTCGAAACGTTTGACTGGCCGGTGGCTGCAGAAAAACATAGGGGCTAATGCTAATATACTAATGAATAATTGGGGGGAAAAAGACAAGGAAAGGAACAAAAATAGTAAAAGTTTTGTTTATGGCTCATCTCTTGAATTAGTGAACAGTTTTGAGTATTTACTTTTTTTCCTACATAGAGGTAGTTAGAACAAATTACATTTATTGGGGTTGGCTAGTCCATTTCAGAACAAAATGTGGTCAGAAAGACATAATGAACTGGACTAAAGGTAACGTCCAGTTCCTTGTTAATACATTTCCAGGGTTTGTTACATTGAGTACAATAAGCGATGGCATTATATACCTAATTTATATACCATTAAATGAGTTATAACATGCTAAGGTAGCATATTACCCCGATTGTAAGAAGTTCAGGCCAATACCAAACACTACAACAACAAAAAACATATTGGTTATTGTTATTTATTTCACATGATTTGGTACCAACACAAACACACTCTTTATGGAGATCTAATGTTCTGAACTTTCAGTGTTCTATAAGCAATCTTGCTCTAGGGATTTTAGTCGGAGTACGAGAAAATTGACCTAAAACTATATGCAGGACATGCTCTGCCTCCACACCTCCCAAATCAATCTGATATCGCCAAAAGAAACAAAGCAGAACGGAGCTCGTCATACTTTCTCCTCATTGTCTGTCCATCTGTGTGGGAGTGTGTGTCTGCGTGCATCTGTGTGTGTGTGTCTGAGTGAAATCCCAGCTGAACGCAGGATCAGAGAGGATTTGAGGAGATTCGGGAGCTGGTGAATTGGACGCCTTGTCTCCCAGCAGCCGGCCGTGTCCTCTCCGTCCCTCCTGTCCCACCCCCCTCTTCGTCTTCTGTCTCCTCTTCCTCATTTACTGCCCTATCCCAGTCTGTCTCCAGCTTATCCCTTATTGTCGTTCTGTCCTCCAGCCCTCGTCACTGGTCACAAATCTGCCTGCCGCAAAGTCCATCATGGTCACCGAAATCCCAAGACTAAAATAATATTGGTCGTATGATTTAGCTCTGGTCTATGTCTCGCTGCCTCTTTTTCTCATATCCTGTCTTGGCATAGATTCATGTCCTATTTTCTGCTTCAATTATGTTTGAATTTTACTTGGTGTGTTTTGGATTACATTCTAACCATTTCTTCTAGTTTTCACAATTAGAGACTGGTCCCAAAAACGCCTTAATGAGACTCATAAAGGACCTTTCTGCTAGGACTGGTCAGCTATACATCCAAGGCTCCTAGGATTGCGTGACGAATGACTACAAGTGTGATGTCTAAGTGAGGAATATAAATAATTTGAAAGATATTTTTAACAAAGATGGGGGGTTGCATTATTGTAGCAGTTGGAAAATATGTTTGTTGGCTTCACTGGACTCAGAAACACCAATCAGCAATAAGTAAACTGGCATTGTTGATTGGCGAAATAATGTTATATATTATTAGTGCCTCAACTTCAATTCAATTCCATAAGTCACAACAGAAGTCATCTCGGAGGACAAAACCGGTGAATTCACCAACAATGGTGCCTAAGGGGCAGAGACCAATGTCCATAAATGTCGTTGAATGTCAAGTGTCCTTCAATAAGAGTGTAGATATATTTAATGTACACATAATCAGTGCTGCCTGGGAGTTGTTAAACCAGAATGTAATATCTGTACAAAGAGGACCAGAGTTTTTGTGTATGGAAAGGCAATGACCCCAAAAATGGCTAAAGCATATTAAAGGTTAACGTTTATTTAAATCTCAAAATGTGTCCTCCCCCATTTGACATATCCTACTGTACACAAGAGAAAGACCAGCGAGAGAGAGACATCAGAGAAAGAGACTAGAGAGAGAGACCAGAGAGAGGCATCAGAGAGAGACATCAGAGAAAGAGACCAGAGAGAGAGACATCAGAGAAAGAGACCAGAGAGAGAGAGAGACATCAGAGAAAAAGACCAGAGAGAGAGAGACATCAGAGAAAAAGACCAGAGAGAGAGAGACATCAGAGAAAGAGACCAGAGAGAGAGAGACATCAGAGAAAGAGACCAGAGAGAGAGAGACATCAGAGAAAAAGACCAGAGAGAGAGAGACATCAGAGAAAGAGACCAGAGAGAGAGAGACATCAGAGAAAGAGACCAGAGAGAGAGAGACATCAGAGAAAGAGACCAAAGAGAGACAAGAGAGAGACATCAGAGAAAGAGACAAGAGAGAGACACATCAGAGAAAGAGACCAGAGAGAGACATCAGAGAAAGAGACCAGAGAGAGACATCAGAGAGAGACATCAGAGAAAGAGACCAGAGAGAGACATCAGAGAAAGAGACCAGAGAGAGACACTAGAGAGAGACACGAGAGAGAGACACGAGAGAGACCAAAGAACGAGAGAGACCAGAGAGACAACAGTGAAATAGACCAGAAAGAGACCAGAGAGAAAGACACCAAAGAGAGACATCAGAGAAAGAAAAAAAAATCTGATTTCCTCCGAGTAAGCCAATTAAAAATGACAAACCATTACACACACACACATAGATATATATATATATTTTTTGCCACACACTAAACTGTTGTTCTCTTTGAATACATCTCCCTAGCCGTCTTCCTTAAGGCGTCTGGGAATGTCCGCATCTCCCTCTGCTGTGCTACATGTGTGTGCATAGATTAGCCCGTAAGCCCCCTCTAATATTTATCCTGGCCCTCCTTAAAGCCAATCTTGTTCTCTTTGGTGGCGCGGCGCACACATCAGCGCTTGTTTGAAATGAGATATGCTGTGCTTTTAATTGGGCAGGTGTTTTTCTAAGACCGCTATGCTTCTCTTTCCAAAACGCTGTCTTACAATTTCAGGGGGGGGGCGGGGGTGTATCAACAGCAGGTAAAGGAAATAGGGCTGAAACAGATCCGCGGAGGTTATACTTACGGCTCGGCTCTGACCGCTGACCCCACACGCATTACACTTACATTCTTGTTCTATTGGGCGCAAAATGGGGCGTGTAATTTGTCAAAAGTGGCCAAGAATTATAGAGAAACTTTCCGCTGTGATGTAATGGGTGATATCACGGTCGTCTTGTGTTTTCTTTTTGTTCTTGATGATAAATATGTTGTTAAAAGTATGTAGATTGTTAAGGGATGAGTAAATGTGCATGAATATGGAACTACTGCTTATTGATCAGTAAGTTTCCCGTAGCAACACTATACAGTAAACAGTGGACCCTGGTTTATCGCTGGGGTTGCGTTCTAAAAATGACCCACAATAAACGAAATCCGTGAAGTAGCAGGTGTATGTTTTTAAGGCTGAAAAACCCCTCACACACACTTTATACACTTTTCTTACAGGGAAGGCCAGAGAGAGACCAGAGATATCAAACGTGCTGGTTGTAGATCTGAGCTGCTGCGGCTGTCAAAAGCTGTGCATACAATGTGAAATACAGCTGCAGAGGAGACAGAGGGACAAGAGCAGAACTGAAGGCAATGGGAAGATCAGAGAGACCAGAGAGAGAGAGACTATAGAGAGACCAGAGACAGACCAAAGAGAAAGAGACCAGACAGAGAGCGAGACCAGAGAGAGACCACGTAGATCAGAGTGAGAGACCAGAGTTGTAGTCCTCTGAACTAACCACCCCAGTGCACACAAGCCATAAAAGTGATGTTATAATGTTATACTAGCGGTTATATTATGTTGTATATGATGTTTTTGGAGCGGGAGCGGAATTGTGTTTTAGTGAGGGACCACCCTTTGTAAAAAAAAGAATACAGTTGGTAATCCGAACGAACGATGAGCATCACGTAAACCCTTCTCTGTCCGCATACTTTACATTTGAATAATACTGTAGTCAGGTATTACGTGGTTTTGGTTCTACCTCCAGACGAGCCCTTTCTATGCGGAGTTTGCATGTTCTTAGTCCGTGAAATTTGATGTATGAATAAAATGTACTTACCCACTGTACTGCGGGTGTTTTTTACCATTTACCACATAAATAAACTGTAATTTCAGTGTTTTCTGAAGCTTCATGTAAAAACTGTTTTAGATCCTGCTCAAACCCGTCACAAATGGACAGGTTGGTGACAGTGTGATTATTGTCTAGAGCCGTTTCGTGGAGGCCCGGGACACGATGGCGCAGTGTGGTCCCGTCTGGGTTAGGCTTTGACATCTTGGGCCTCTTTTGGACAGCACTCGGGGCACATTTGACTGGCTCGGTCTGGGATGGAGCGGGTTCCAGTGTACCTCTATGTGCCCACGTCGGTCAGTGGAGACATCAGCATTCCAGCCTTATTCTGGGCTGTGGTCTGTGACGGGGGGTGGCACCGTGCTGCTGCGGTCTCCAGCAATTTGACTGTGGGCTTTACGCTATTTCAATCCCCCATAGAGGCACACATCTCTAGGCACGCGTTTCACCGACGGGTGCTAGGACTCCACTGAGAGATTTAGGGTTGAAAGATAGAGATGGTAAAAACCTGCTGGAGCTCCTACATCCAAATACATATGCAAATAATTAGATCTTCATAAAAATAAAAATAAAAATAAAAACACATACTGTATACTTCAATAGAATACAGTTTATATCCAATTCAAACTTACTGGTGACATGTGAGTGTGTGTGAGTTAATAAGGCTGAAAACTGTCTCTTAGTATCTGGCAAGGTCTCCCAGAAACCAACCCACAACAAACCAGTATCTGTGGACATTCCCTGGTAACCATGGCTAAAAAAGTACTTATACTTTTATGTTTATGTTTATGTTTTGGCTTTCTGATGGTGATATTTGAAAATGAATTTTTTGCAGTGGCAAACTTTGTTGAAAAGGCCTGGACACTGAGACAAAGGACTTTATATCCAGAGAGACAGTAATATCTTTGTCCACAGGTGAGGCTATATCTTCCTTTTGTTGATAGTGTCATATAAGCCC